TCCTCGCCATTGATGACCGTTCCTGCCGCTCGCAAGGGTGGCGGGAGGGAGGCACAGCAAGCTGAGGGGTTGGTTTCTTAGCCTAAATAAAAATAGATGTTTATACCGCACAAATCTGGCGTTGGTGTTGTACGCATTTAGTAGAGACTTTTTTCGGTGGGTAGGGTAATGACGGGGACAATATTTAATTTCGGAGAATCTGTCTGCCAAAAAATACTCATTGCCGAGTGATGCACGTGCTCAGAGTGACAACACGTTTTTGCTCCTTCGGAGAACACTGCGCCCACTAAGTGGATCGCAGAGCCACGCCAATCAACATCAAACTCCGCCCACGATTGTAAACAACTACTGTAGAGGCGATCACGTGGATTGCAGATTGAACGGAGCACATATTTGTTGGGTTAAAGCACGTGACTTCTATTAAACGTTTCCAAGAATTGCAATGTCGTGTAACAGTTTTTTGAATTATTAATTTGGCCTGAAGGGAAAATCTACGAGTTATTAATTTACGTCAAAATCTCAGTTAATACGCACATCGGATAAACCGCACACAGATAATGGACAGTCTTACTGTAGAGTAATTCCTGCAGTCACGAAAGCTTCCAATCAATAAATTTGATTTGAAGCTTTCAAATCAAGTTGTATTAAGGGCCGCCCATAAATGACGTCACGTACCTGGGGGGGGAGGGGTCAGACATTTGTGACGATGTGTGACGAGGGGGGGGGGGTTTAGAAATGTGACGTCACATAAAACGCAACTTTAAATAAATATAGACAACACGTTCTACTTAATCAAATATACTTTTTAATAAATGTTTCTCTTACAACATCAGAGCGCAGCGCCACATTAAATACGCAGTACAATGACAATAGTTTAAAGCGATTTTAATCATGATTTATTTTTTGGGGGGGGCAGAGCTTTATGACGTCATATTTGAGGGGGGTCTGACTTCTTGTGACGCCGTGTGACGAGGGAGGGAGGTGAAAAATCGTCCAAAATCGCGTGACGTCATTTATGGACGGCCCCTAAGATCTGCAGCAGTATTCCGATAAAACGTCGGACGAGCCCATTGAGTGAGTCTTGCGTGATGCTTGAGGCCATCAAGAGAGCTCTTTGCCTGGAGGTGGAGCCAGTGGGCCGCGTAGCTCGCCGTGATCGTATAGTGGTTAGTACTCTGCGTTGTGGCCGCAGCAACCTCGGTTCGAATCCGAGTCACGGCATTGTGGCGACAAAGACACGGCAGCGGCCTGCGTTGTTTTATTGTCCTTGTTTATAGGGGTTAGTTAATTTAGCCACGCGTTTGCAGAAAGGCGTGCGTGTTTTATCTGTTACTTTTTAAAGTCAGTAAATGTAACTGCTGTCATCACCTGACCCACGATCTGAACTTCTCGAGCAGAGCTGCCTCGTGGCCCAGGTCGAGAGGCGACTCCCACCATGCATTTCACCGTTAGCACAGTTGTAGTAAACTGCTTTTATCCTTTACGTCGTTCTTGCCTGCATAACCTCTTACCACGGCAACTGTCTCTCCCACTTCAGCAAAACATTTTCTTGCTGTGGGTTTCCCACCTGATGATGATTTTTTGTGTTGCAATCGAAACGTTGTGATTTAATTTATTTTGTTTTACACTTACTACGTGACTTAACCAAAAATAACCAAAGAGTATGGATCCCTGCAGTCACGAAAACTTCAAATCTAGATTCTTTACTTCGTTGACTTTGCAGGTGATATGAACATGTTAAATTACAGTTAATGTTGATGTTGACACTGAACAAGTTTAATATTTGTAGGTGCTAAACCTGCTTAGCTGGGAAACCACACCGTACCCATAGCGTAGAGCCAGTCTACCTGACTACATATAGCGCTGCGTCGACGTGTTTTCACTAAGACTATACTTTCAGGGATCATTTCTATAGTTTCCAACTTACGAAATGGGCTCTAAAGTGTCTGGACCAACCAGCCCCGATGAGGAGTTGGAGCTGTCCCTCCTGAGCGCGAAGCCGGCTTGGAGTGCTGCTCACGCAGCCGCTCCTCGCCATTGATGATCGTTCCTGCCGCTCGCAAGGGTGGCGGGAGGGAGGCACAGCAAGCTGAGGGGTTGGTTTCTTAGCCTAAATAAAAATAGATGTTTATACCGCACAAATCTGGCGTTGGTGTTGTACGCATTTAGTAGAGACTTTTTTCGGTGGGTAGTGTAATGACGGGGACAATATCCAATTTCGGAGAATCTGTCTGCCAAAAAATACTCATTGCCGATTGATGCACGTGCTCAGAGTGACAACACGTTTTTGCTCCTTCGGAGAACACTGCGCCCACTAAGTGGATCGCAGAGCCACGCCAATCAACATCAAACTCCGCCCACGATTGTAAACAACTACTGTAGAGGCGATCACGTGGATTGCAGATTGAACGGAGCACATATTTGTTGGGTTAAAGCACGTGACTTCTATTAAACGTTTCCAAGAATTGCAATGTCGTGTAACAGTTTTTTGAATTATTAATTTGGCCTGAATGGAAAATCTACGAGTTATTAATTTACGTCAAAATCTCAGTTAATACGCACATCGGATAAACCGCACACAGATAATGGACAGTCTTACTGTAGAGTAATTCCTGCAGTCACGAAAGCTTCCAATCAATAAATTTGATTTGAAGCTTTCAAATCAAGTTGTATTAAGGGCCGCCCATAAATGACGTCACGTACCTGGGGGGGGAGGGGTCAGACATTCGTGACGATGTGTTACGAGGGGGGGGGGGTTAGAAATGTGACGTCACGTAAAAATGCGCAACTTTAAATAAATATAGACAACACGTTCTACTTAATTAAATATACGTTTTAATAAATGTTTCTCTTACAACATCAGAGCGCAGCACCACATTAAATACGCACTTCAATGACAATAGTTTAAAGCGATTTTAATCATGATTTATTTTTTTGGGGGGGGGGCAGAGCTTTATGACGTCATATTTGAGGGGGGTCTGACTTCTTGTGACGCCGTGTGACGAGGGAGGGGGGTCAAAAATCGTCCAAAATCGCGTGACGTCATTTATGGACGGCACCTAAGATCAGCAGCAGTATTCCGATAAAAACGTCGAACGAGCCCATTGAGTGAGTCTGGCGTGATGCTTGAGGCCATCAAGAGAGCTCTTTGCCTGGAGGTGGAGCCAGCGGGCCGCGTAGCTCGCCGTGATCGTATAGTGGTTAATACTCTGCGTTGTGGCCGCAGCAACCTCGGTTCGAATCCGAGTCACGGCATTGTGGTGACAAAGACACGGCAGCGGCCTGCAGTGTTTTATTGTCCTTGTTTATAGTGGTTAGTTTATTGTCCTTGTTCATAGTGTTTAGTTAATTTAGCCACGCGTTTTCAGAAAGGCGTGCGTGTTTTATCTGTTTCTTTTTTTAAGTCAGAAAATGTAACTGCTGTCGTCACCTGACCCACGCTCTGAACTCCTCGAGCAGCGCTGCCTCGTGGTCCAGGTTGAGAGGCGACTCCCACCATGCATTTCACCGTTAGCACAGTTGTAGTAAACTGCTTTGATCCTTTACATCTTTCTTGCCTGTATAACCTCTTACCACGGCAACTGTCTCTCCCACTTCAGCAAAACATTTTCTTGCTGTGGTTTTCCCACCTGATGATGATTGCTTGTGTTGCAATCGAAACGTTGTGATTTAATTTATTTTGTTTTATACCTACTACGTGACTTAACCGAAAATAACCAAAGAGTATGGATCCCTGCAGTAACCAAACTTCAAATCTAGATTCTTTACTTCGTTGAATTTGCAGGTGATATGAACATGTTAAATTACAGTTAATGTTGATGTTGACACTGAACAAGTTTAATATTTGTAGGTGCTAAACCTGCTTAGCTGGGAAACCACACCGTACCCATAGCGTAGAGCCAGTATACCTGACTACATATAGCGCTGCGTCGACGTGTTCTCACTAAGACTATACTTTCAGGGATCATTTCTATAGTTTCCAACTTACGAAATGGGCTCTAAAGTGTCTGGACCAACCAGCCCCGATGAGGAGTTGGAGCTGTGCCTCCTGAGCGCGAAGCCGGCTTGGAGTGCTGCTCACGCAGCCGCTCCTCGCCATTGATGACCGTTCCTGCCGCTCGCAAGGGTGGCGGGAGGGAGGCACAGCAAGCTGAGGGGTTGGTTTCTTAGCCTAAATAAAAATAGATGTTTATACCGCACAAATCTGGCGTTGGTGTTGTACGCATTTAGTAGAGACTTTTTTCGGTGGGTAGGGTAATGACGGGGACAATATTTAATTTCGGAGAATCTGTCTGCCAAAAAATACTCATTGCCGAGTGATGCACGTGCTCAGAGTGACAACACGTTTTTGCTCCTTCGGAGAACACTGCGCCCACTAAGTGGATCGCAGAGCCACGCCAATCAACATCAAACTCCGCCCACGATTGTAAACAACTACTGTAGAGGCGATCACGTGGATTGCAGATTGAACGGAGCACATATTTGTTGGGTTAAAGCACGTGACTTCTATTAAACGTTTCCAAGAATTGCAATGTCGTGTAACAGTTTTTTGAATTATTAATTTGGCCTGAAGGGAAAATCTACGAGTTATTAATTTACGTCAAAATCTCAGTTAATACGCACATCGGATAAACCGCACACAGATAATGGACAGTCTTACTGTAGAGTAATTCCTGCAGTCACGAAAGCTTCCAATCAATAAATTTGATTTGAAGCTTTCAAATCAAGTTGTATTAAGGGCCGCCCATAAATGACGTCACATACCTGGGGGGGGAGGGGTCAGACATTTGTGACGATGTGTGACGAGGGGGGGGGGGTTTAGAAATGTGACGTCACATAAAACGCAACTTTAAATAAATATAGACAACACGTTCTACTTAATCAAATATACTTTTTAATAAATGTTTCTCTTACAACATCAGAGCGCAGCGCCACATTAAATACGCAGTACAATGACAATAGTTTAAAGCGATTTTAATCATGATTTATTTTTTGGGGGGGGCAGAGCTTTATGACGTCATATTTGAGGGGGGTCTGACTTCTTGTGACGCCGTGTGACGAGGGAGGGAGGTGAAAAATCGTCCAAAATCGCGTGACGTCATTTATGGACGGCCCCTAAGATCTGCAGCAGTATTCCGATAAAACGTCGGACGAGCCCATTGAGTGAGTCTTGCGTGATGCTTGAGGCCATCAAGAGAGCTCTTTGCCTGGAGGTGGAGCCAGTGGGCCGCGTAGCTCGCCGTGATCGTATAGTGGTTAGTACTCTGCGTTGTGGCCGCAGGTTCGAATCCGAGTCACGGCATTGTGGCGACAAAGACACGGCAGCGGCCTGCGTTGTTTTATTGTCCTTGTTTATAGGGGTTAGTTAATTTAGCCACGCGTTTGCAGAAAGGCGTGCGTGTTTTATCTGTTACTTTTTAAAGTCAGTAAATGTAACTGCTGTCATCACCTGACCCACGATCTGAACTTCTCGAGCAGCGCTGCCTCGTGGCCCAGGTCGAGAGGCGACTCCCACCATGCATTTCACCGTTAGCACAGTTGTAGTAAACTGCTTTTATCCTTTACGTCGTTCTTGCCTGCATAACCTCTTACCACGGCAACTGTCTCTCCCACTTCAGCAAAACATTTTCTTGCTGTGGGTTTCCCACCTGATGATGATTTTTTGTGTTGCAATCGAAACGTTGTGATTTAATTTATTTTGTTTTACACTTACTACGTGACTTAACCAAAAATAACCAAAGAGTATGGATCCCTGCAGTCACGAAAACTTCAAATCTAGATTCTTTACTTCGTTGACTTTGCAGGTGATATGAACATGTTAAATTACAGTTAATGTTGATGTTGACACTGAACAAGTTTAATATTTGTAGGTGCTAAACCTGCTTAGCTGGGAAACCACACCGTACCCATAGCGTAGAGCCAGTCTACCTGACTACATATAGCGCTGCGTCGACGTGTTTTCACTAAGACTATACTTTCAGGGATCATTTCTATAGTTTCCAACTTACGAAATGGGCTCTAAAGTGTCTGGACCAACCAGCCACGATGAGGAGTTGGAGCTGTCCCTCCTGAGCGCGAAGCCGGCTTGGAGTGCTGCTCACGCAGCCGCTCCTCGCCATTGATGATCGTTCCTGCCGCTCGCAAGGGTGGCGGGAGGGAGGCACAGCAAGCTGAGGGGTTGGTTTCTTAGCCTAAATAAAAATAGATGTTTATACCGCACAAATCTGGCGTTGGTGTTGTACGCATTTAGTAGAGACTTTTTTCGGTGGGTAGTGTAATGACGGGGACAATATCCAATTTCGGAGAATCTGTCTGCCAAAAAATACTCATTGCCGATTGATGCACGTGCTCAGAGTGACAACACGTTTTTGCTCCTTCGGAGAACACTGCGCCCACTAAGTGGATCGCAGAGCCACGCCAATCAACATCAAACTCCGCCCATGATTGTAAACAACTACTGTAGAGGCGATCACGTGGATTGCAGATTGAACGGAGCACATATTTGTTGGGTTAAAGCACGTGACTTCTATTAAACGTTTCCAAGAATTGCAATGTCGTGTAACAGTTTTTTGAATTATTAATTTGGCCTGAATGGAAAATCTACGAGTTATTAATTTACGTCAAAATCTCAGTTAATACGCACATCGGATAAACCGCACACAGATAATGGACAGTCTTACTGTAGAGTAATTCCTGCAGTCACGAAAGCTTCCAATCAATAAATTTGATTTGAAGCTTTCAAATCAAGTTGTATTAAGGGCCGCCCATAAATGACGTCACGTACCTGGGGGGGGAGGGGTCAGACATTCGTGACGATGTGTTACGAGGGGGGGGGGTTAGAAATGTGACGTCACGTAAAAATGCGCAACTTTAAATAAATATAGACAACACGTTCTACTTAATTAAATATACGTTTTAATAAATGTTTCTCTTACAACATCAGAGCGCAGCACCACATTAAATACGCACTTCAATGACAATAGTTTAAAGCGATTTTAATCATGATTTATTTTTTTGGGGGGGGGCAGAGCTTTATGACGTCATATTTGAGGGGGGTCTGACTTCTTGTGACGCCGTGTGACGAGGGAGGGGGGTCAAAAATCGTCCAAAATCGCGTGACGTCATTTATGGACGGCACCTAAGATCAGCAGCAGTATTCCGATAAAAACGTCGAACGAGCCCATTGAGTGAGTCTGGCGTGATGCTTGAGGCCATCAAGAGAGCTCTTTGCCTGGAGGTGGAGCCAGCGGGCCGCGTAGCTCGCCATGATCGTATAGTGGTTAGTACTCTGCGTTGTGGCCGCAGCAACCTCGGTTCGAATCCGAGTCACGGCATTGTGGTGACAAAGACACGGCAGCGGCCTGCAGTGTTTTATTGTCCTTGTTTATAGTGGTTAGTTTATTGTCCTTGTTCATAGTGTTTAGTTAATTTAGCCACGCGTTTTCAGAAAGGCGTGCGTGTTTTATCTGTTTCTTTTTTTAAAGTCAGAAAATGTAACTGCTGTCGTCACCTGACCCACGCTCTGAACTCCTCGAGCAGCGCTGCCTCGTGGTCCAGGTTGAGAGGCGACTCCCACCATGCATTTCACCGTTAGCACAGTTGTAGTAAACTGCTTTGATCCTTTACATCTTTCTTGCCTGTATAACCTCTTACCACGGCAACTGTCTCTCCCACTTCAGCAAAACATTTTCTTGCTGTGGTTTTCCCACCTGATGATGATTGCTTGTGTTGCAATCGAAACGTTGTGATTTAATTTATTTTGTTTTATACCTACTACGTGACTTAACCGAAAATAACCAAAGAGTATGGATCCCTGCAGTAACCAAACTTCAAATCTAGATTCTTTACTTCGTTGAATTTGCAGGTGATATGAACATGTTAAATTACAGTTAATGTTGATGTTGACACTGAACAAGTTTAATATTTGTAGGTGCTAAACCTGCTTAGCTGGGAAACCACACCGTACCCATAGCGTAGAGCCAGTATACCTGACTACATATAGCGCTGCGTCGACGTGTTCTCACTAAGACTATACTTTCAGGGATCATTTCTATAGTTTCCAACTTACGAAATGGGCTCTAAAGTGTCTGGACCAACCAGCCCCGATGAGGAGTTGGAGCTGTGCCTCCTGAGCGCGAAGCCGGCTTGGAGTGCTGCTCACGCAGCCGCTCCTCGCCATTGATGACCGTTCCTGCCGCTCGCAAGGGTGGCGGGAGGGAGGCACAGCAAGCTGAGGGGTTGGTTTCTTAGCCTAAATAAAAATAGATGTTTATACCGCACAAATCTGGCGTTGGTGTTGTACGCATTTAGTAGAGACTTTTTTCGGTGGGTAGGGTAATGACGGGGACAATATTTAATTTCGGAGAATCTGTCTGCCAAAAAATACTCATTGCCGATTGATGCACGTGCTCAGAGTGACAACACGTTTTTGCTCCTTCGGAGAACACTGCGCCCACTAAGTGGATCGCAGAGCCACGCCAATCAACATCAAACTCCGCCCACGATTGTAAACAACTACTGTAGAGGCGATCACGTGGATTGCAGATTGAACGGAGCACATATTTGTTGGGTTAAAGCACGTGACTTCTATTAAACGTTTCCAAGAATTGCAATGTCGTGTAACAGTTTTTTGAATTATTAATTTGGCCTGAAGGGAAAATCTACGAGTTATTAATTTACGTCAAAATCTCAGTTAATACGCACATCGGATAAACCGCACACAGATAATGGACAGTCTTACTGTAGAGTAATTCCTGCAGTCACGAAAGCTTCCAATCAATAAATTTGATTTGAAGTTTTCAAATCAAGTTGTATTAAGGGCCGCCCATAAATGACGTCACGTACCTGGGGGGGGGAGGGGTCAGACATGTGTGACGAGGGGGGGGGGGGTTAGAAATGTGACGTCACGTAAAACGCAACTTTAAATAAATATAGACAACACGTTCTACTTAATTAAATATACTTTTTAATAAATGTTTCTCTTACAACATCAGAGCACAGCGCCACATTAAATACGCAGTACAATGACAATAGTTTAAAGCGATTTTAATCATGATTTATTTTTTTGGGGGGGCAGAGCTTTATGACGTCATATTTGAGGGGGGTATGACTTCTTGTGACGCCGTGTGACGAGGGAGGGGGGTGAAAAATCGTCCAAAATCGCGTGACGTCATTTATGGACGGCCCCTAAGATCTGCAGCAGTATTCCGATAAAACGTCGGACGAGCCCATTGAGTGAGTCTTGCGTGATGCTTGAGGCCATCAAGAGAGCTCTTTGCCTGGAGGTGGAGCCAGTGGGCCGCGTAGCTCGCAGTGATCGTATAGTGGTTAGTACTCTGCGTTGTGGCCGCAGCAACCTCGGTTCGAATCCGAGTCACGGCATTGTGGCGACAAAGACATGGCAGCGGCCTGTGTTGTTTTATTGTCCTTGTTTATAGGGGTTAGTTAATTTAGCCACGCGTTTGCAGAAAGGCGTGTGTGTTTTATCTGTTACTTTTTAAAGTCAGTAAATGTAACTGCTGTCATCACCTGACCCACGATCTGAACTTCTCGAGCAGCGCTGCCTCGTGGCCCAGGTCGAGAGGCGACTCCCACCATGCATTTCACCGTTAGCACAGTTGTAGTAAACTGCTTTTATCCTTTACGTCGTTCTTGCCTGCATAACCTCTTACCACGGCAACTGTCTCTCCCACTTCAGCAAAACATTTTCTTGCTGTGGTTTTCCCACCTGATGATGATTTTTTGTGTTGCAATCGAAACGTTGTGATTTAATTTATTTTGTTTTACACTTACTACGTGACTTAACCAAAAATAACCAAAGAGTATGGATCCCTGCAGTCACGAAAACTTCAAATCTAGATTCTTTACTTCGTTGACTTTGCAGGTGATATGAACATGTTAAATTACAGTTAATGTTGATGTTGACACTGAACAAGTTTAATATTTGTAGGTGCTAAACCTGCTTAGCTGGGAAACCACACCGTACCCATAGCGTAGAGCCAGTCTACCTGACTACATATAGCGCTGCGTCGACGTGTTCTCACTAAGACTATACTTTCAGGGATCATTTCTATAGTTTCCAACTTACGAAATGGGCTCTAAAGTGTCTGGACCAACCAGCCCCGATGAGGAGTTGGAGCTGTCCCTCCTGAGCGCGAAGCCGGCTTGGAGTGCTGCTCACGCAGCCGCTCCTCGCCATTGATGATCGTTCCTGCCGCTCGCAAGGGTGGCGGGAGGGAGGCACAGCAAGCTGAGGGGTTGGTTTCTTAGCCTAAATAAAAATAGATGTTTATACCGCACAAATCTGGCGTTGGTGTTGTACGCATTTAGTAGAGACTTTTTTCGGTGGGTAGTGTAATGACGGGGACAATATCCAATTTCGGAGAATCTGTCTGCCAAAAAATACTCATTGCCGATTGATGCACGTGCTCAGAGTGACAACACGTTTTTGCTCCTTCGGAGAACACTGCGCCCACTAAGTGGATCGCAGAGCCACGCCAATCAACATCAAACTCCGCCCACGATTGTAAACAACTACTGTAGAGGCGATCACGTGGATTGCAGATTGAATGGAGCACATATTTGTTGGGTTAAAGCACGTGACTTCTATTAAACGTTTCCAAGAATTGCAATGTCGTGTAACAGTTTTTTGAATTATTAATTTGGCCTGAATGGAAAATCTACGAGTTATTAATTTACGTCAAAATCTCAGTTAATACGCACATCGGATAAACCGCACACAGATAATGGACAGTCTTACTGTAGAGTAATTCCTGCAGTCACGAAAGCTTCCAATCAATAAATTTGATTTGAAGCTTTCAAATCAAGTTGTATTAAGGGCCGCCCATAAATGACGTCACGTACCTGGGGGGGGAGGGGTCAGACATTCGTGACGATGTGTTACGAGGGGGGGGGTTTAGAAATGTGACGTCACGTAAAAATGCGCAACTTTAAATAAATATAGACAACACGTTCTACTTAATTAAATATACGTTTTAATAAATGTTTCTCTTACAACATCAGAGCGCAGCGCCACATTAAATACGCACTTCAATGACAATAGTTTAAAGCGATTTTAATCATGATTTATTTTTTGGGGGGGGGCAGAGCTTTATGACGTCATATTTGAGGGGGGTCTGACTTCTTGTGACGCCGTGTGACGAGGGAGGGGGGGGTCAAAAATCGTCCAAAATCGCGTGACGTCATTTATGGACGGCCCCTAAGATCAGCAGCAGTATTCCGATACAACGTCGGACGAACCCATTGAGTGAGTCTGGCGTGATGCTTGAGGCCATCAAGAGAGCTCTTTGCCTGGAGGTGGAGCCAGCGGGCCGCGTAGCTCGCCGTGATCGTATAGTGGTTAGTACTCTGCGTTGTGGCCGCAGCAACCTCGGTTCGAATCCGAGTCACGGCATTGTGGTGACAAAGACACGGCAGCGGCCTGCAGTGTTTTATTGTCCTTGTTCATAGAGTTTAGTTAATTTAGCCACGCGTTTTCAGAAAGGCGTGCGTGTTTTATCTGTTAATTTTTTTAAAGTCAGAAAATGTAACTGCTGTCATCACCTGCCTCGTGGCCCAGGTCGAGAGGCGACTCCCACCATGCATTTCACCGTTAGCACAGTTGTAGTAAACTGCTTTTATCCTTTACGTCTTTCTTGCCTGTATAACCTCTTACCACGGCAACTGTCTCTCCCACTTCAGCAAAACATTTTCTTGCTGTGGTTTTCCCACCTGATGATGATTGCTTGTGTTGCAATCGAAACGTGATTTATTTTTTGTTTGTTTTATACCTACTACGTGACTTAACCAAAAATAACCAAAGAGTATGGATCCCTGCAGTCACGAAAACTTCAATTCTAGATTCTTAAATCGTTGACTTTGCAGGTGATATAAACTTGTTAAATTACAGTTAATGTTAATGTTGACACTGAACAAGTTGAATATTTGTAGGCGCTAAACCTGCTTAGCTGGGAAACCACACCGTACCCATAGCGTAGAGTCAGTCTACCTGACTACATATAGCGCTGCGTCGACGTGTTCTTATTAAGACTATACTTTCAGGGATCATTTCTATAGTTTCCAACTTACGAAATGGGCTCTAAAGTGTCTGGACCAACCAGCCCCGATGAGGAGTTGGAGCTGTGCCTCCTGAGCGCGAAGCCGGCTTGGAGTGCTGCTCACGCAGCAGCTCCTCGCCATTGATGACCGTTCCTGCCGCTCGCAAGGGTGGCGGGAGGGAGGCACAGCAAGCTGAGGGGTTGGTTTCTTATCCTAAAGAAAAATAGATGTTTATACCACACAAATCTAGCGTTTAGTTAGAGACTTATTTCGGTAGGTAGAGTAATGACGGAGACAATATCCAATGTCGGAGATCTGTCTACCAAAAAATACTAATTGCCGATTGATGCACGTGCTCAGAGTGACAACACGTTTTTGCTCCACTAAGTGGATCGCAGAGCCACGCCAATCAAAATCAAACTCTGCCCACTATTGGAAACAACTACTGTAGAGGCGATCACGTGGATTGCGGATTAACCGCAGCACATATTAGTTTGGTTTAAGCACGTGACTTCTATTAAACGTTTGCAAAGGAGGTCTAATGATGTAGATGCTCACCCCGAGCCCTCATTACTTTGAGCTGTACGCCTTCTGGCGTCATGTGGTCGAGCACCAATTGAGTCGAGGCTCAAAAGAAAGCCGACCCTTGGTGTGGACCAATCAGTTTTAAGGACAATGCATATATTATACTGGTATGAACGAAGTTGTAAGCTGAGTGTACCAGCCTGCAATGTATTAATGTGTCCGTCCGTCCCCTTTCAATACTTTAACGAAGTGAAATCTCGTGCTGTTGAGTGTAAAAAAAATTCCAATGTTCCTACCAGCCCACCCTGCAGGGACCTGTTTATAGTATGTGTTTTGTTTGCATTGTGACTGCAGGTATTGTGGTTAATGCAGACATGAATCCTTGTAAAAAGGTTTCAGTTTTGTTGCCAGAAAAAAGGGGAAACCCCCTATTATTACATTTTGGTACTGGCAAAGGAGGTCTAATGATGAAATTGCAATGTTGTGTAACAGTTTTTTTAAATTATCAATTTGGCCTGAAGGGAAAATCTACGAGTTATTAATTTACGTCAAAATCTCAGTTAATACGCAAATCAGATAAACCGCACACAGATAATCGACAGTCTTACTGGAGAGTAATTCCTGCAGTCACGAAAGCTTGAAATCAATAAATTTGATTTGAAGCTTTCAAATAAAGTTGTCTTAGTGGCCGTCCATAAATGACGTCATGCACCTGGGGGGGGGGGTCAGACATTTGTGACGATGTGTGACGAGGGGGGGGGGGTTTAGAAATGTGACGTCAAATATAAATGCGCAACTTTAAATAAACATAGACAACACGTTCTACTTAATTAAATATACGTTTTAATAAATGTTTTCTCTTACAACATCAGAGCGCAGCGGCACATTAAATACGCACTACAATGACAATAGTTTAAAGCGATTTTAAGCATGTTTTATTTTGGGGGGGGGGGGGCAGAGCTTTATGACGTCATATTTGAGGGGGGTCTGACTTCTTGTGACGCCGTGTGACGAGGGGGGGGGGGTGGAAAATCGTCCAAAATCGCGTGACGTCATTTATGGACGGCCCTTAAGATCAGCAGCAGTATTCCGATACAACGTCGGACGAGCCCATTGAGTGAGTCTGGCGTGATCCTTGAGGCCATCAAGAGAGCTCTTTGCCTAGAGGTGGAGCCAGCGGGCCGCGTAGCTCGCTGTGATCGTATAGTGGTTAGTACTCTGCGTTGTGGCCGCAGCAACCTCGGTTCGAATCCGAGTCACGGCATTGTGGTGACAAAGACACGGCAGCGGGCTGCAGTGTTTTATTGCCCTTGTTTATAGTGGTTAGTTTATTGTCCTTGTTCATAGTGTTTAGTTAATTTAGCCACGCGTTTTCAGAAAGGCGTGCGTGTTTTATGTTTCTTTTTTTAAAGTCAGAAAATGTAACTGCTGTCGTCACCTGACCCACGCTCTGAACTCCTCGAGCAGCGCTGCCTCGTGGTCCAGGTTGAGAGGCGACCATGCATTTCACCGTTAGCACAGTTGTAGTAAACTGCTTTGATCCTTTACATCTTTCTTGCCTGTATAACCTCTTACCACGGCAACTGTCTCTCCCACTTCAGCAAAACATTTTCTTGCTGTGGTTTTCCCACCTGATGATGATTGCTTGTGTTGCAATCGAAACGTTGTGATTTAATTTATTTTGTTTTATACCTACTACGTGACTTAACCGAAAATAACCAAAGAGTATGGATCCCTGCAGTAACCAAACTTCAAATCTAGATTCTTTACTTCGTTGACTTTGCAGGTGATATGAACATGTTAAATTACAGTTAATGTTAATGTTGACACTGAACAAGTTTAATATTTGTAGGTGCTAAACCTGCTTAGCTGGGAAACCACACCGTACCCATAGCGTAGAGCCAGTCTACCTGACTACATATAGCGCTGCGTCGACGTGTTCTCACTAAGACTATATTTTCAGGGATCATTTCTATAGTTTCCAACTTACGAAATGGGCTCTAAAGTGTCTGGACCAACCAGCCCCGATGAGGAGTTGGAGCTGTCCCTCCTGAGCGCGAAGCCGGCTTGGAGTGCTGCTCACGCAGCCGCTCCTCGCCATTGATGACCGTTCCTGCCGCTCGCAAGGGTGGCGGGAGGGAGGCACAGCAAGCGGAGGGGTTGGTTTCTTATCCTAAAGAAAAATAGATGTTTATACCACACAAATCTAGCGTTTAGTTAGAGACTTCTTTCGGTAGGTAGAGTAATGATGGAGACAATATCCAATTTCGGAGATCTGTCTACCAAAAAATACTAATTGCCGATTGATGCACGTGCTCAGAGTGACAACACGTTTTTGCTCCACTAAGTGGATCGCAGAGCCACGCCAATCAAAATCAAACTCTGCCCACTATTGTAAACAACTACTGTAGAGGCGATCACGTGGATTGCGGATTAACCGCAGCACATATTTGTTTGGTTTAAGCACGTGACTTCTATTAAACGTTTGGAAAGGAGGTCTAATGATGTAGATGCTCACCCCGAGCCCTCATTACTTTGAGCTGTACGCCTTCTGGCGTCATGTGGTCGAGCACCAATTGGGTCGAGGCTCAAAAGAAAGCCGACCCTTGGTGTGGACCAATCAGTTTCAAGGACAATCCATATATTATACTGGTAGGAACGAAGTTGTAAACTGAGTGTACCAGCCTGCAATATATTAATGTGTCCGTCCGTCCCCTTTCAATACTTTAACGAAGTGAAATCTCGTGCTGTTGGGTGTAAAAAAAATTCCAATGTTCCTACCAGCCCACCCTGCAGGGACCTGTTTATAGTATGTGTTTTGTTTGCATTGTGACTGCAGGTATTGTGGTTAATGCAGACATGAATCCTTGTAAAAAGGTTTCAGTTTTGTTGCCAGAAAAAAGGGGAACCCCCCTATTATTACATTTTGGTACTGGCAAAGGAGGTCTAATGATGAAATTGCCATGTTGTGTAACAGTTTTTTTAAATTATTAATTTGGCCTGAAGGGAAAATCTACGAGTTATTAATTTACGTCAAAATCTCAGTTAATACGCAAATCAGATAAACCGCACACAGATAATGGACAGTCTTACTGGAGAGTAATTCCTGCAGTCACGAAAGCTTGAAATCAATAAATTTGATTTGAAGCTTTCAAATAAAGTTGTCTTAGTGGCCGTCCATAAATGACGTCATGCACCTGGGGGGGGGGGGGGTCAGACATTTGTGACGATGTGTGACGAGGGGGGGGGGTTTAGAAATGTGACGTCAAATATAAATGCGCAACTTTAAATAATCATAGACAACACGTTCTACTTAATTAAATATACTTTTTAATAAATGTTTTCTCTTACAACATCAGAGCGCAGCGGCACATTAAATACGCACTACAATGACAATAGTTTAAAGCGATTTTAAGCATGTTTTATTTTGGGGGGGGGGGCGGCAGAGCTTTATGTCGTCATATTTGAGGGGGGTCTGACTTCTTGTGACGCCGTGTGACGAGGGGGGGGGGGGGTGGAAAATCGTCCAAAATCGCGTGACGTCATTTATGGACGGCCCCTAAGATCAGCAGCAGTATTCCGATACAACGTCGGACGATCCCATTGAGTGAGTCTGGCGTGATGCTTGAGGCCATCAAGAGAGCTCTTTGCCTGGAGGTAGAGCCAGCAGGCCGCGTAGCTCGCCGTGATCGTATAGTGGTTAGTACTCTGCGTTGTGGCCGCAGCAACCTCGGTTCGAATCCGAGTCACGGCATTGTGGTGACAAAGACACGGCAGCGGCCTGCAGTGTTTTATTGTCCTTGTTTATAGTGGTTAGTTTATTGTCCTTGTTTATAGTGGTTAGTTTATTGTCCTTGTTCATAGTGTTTAGTTAATTTAGCCACGCGTTTTCAGAAAGGCGTGCGTGTTTTATCTGTTTCTTTTTTTAAAGTCAGAAAATGTAACTGCTGTCGTCACCTGACCCACGCTCTGAACTCCTAGAGCAGCGCTGCCTCGTGGTCCAGGTTGAGAGGCGACTCCCACCATGCATTTCACCGTTAGCACAGTTGTAGTAAACTGCTTTGATCCTTTACATCTTTCTTGCCTGTATAAGCTCTTACCACGGCAACTGTCTCTCCCACTTCAGCAAAACATTTTCTTGCTGTGGTTTTCCCACCTGATGATGATTGCTTGTGTTGCAATCGAAACGTTGTGATTTAATTTATTTTGTTTTATACCTACTACGTGACTTAACCGAAAATAACCAAAGAGTATGGATCCCTGCAGTAACCAAACTTCAAATCTAGATTCTTTACTTCGTTGACTTTGCAGGTGATATGAACATGTTAAATTACAGTTAATGTTGATGTTGACACTGAACAAGTTTAATATTTGTAGGTGCTAAACCTGCTTAGCTGGGAAACCACGCAGTACCCATAGCGTAGAGCTAGTCTACATGACTACATATAGCGCTTGGCCGACGTGTGCTCATTAAGACTATACTTTCAGGGATCATTTCTATAGTTTCCAACTTACGAAATGGGCTCTAAAGTGTCTGGACCAACCAGCCCCGATGAGGAGTTGGAGCTGTGCCTCCTGAGCGCGAAGCCGGCTTGGAGTGCTGCTCACGCAGCCGCTCCTCGCCATTGATGACCGTTCCTACCGCTCGCAAGGGTGGTGGGAGGGAGGCACAGCAAGCTGAGG